AAAAGTTCTACTGATTTTTATTACCTCAATGAATGAGGTGTTTATTTGTATCTTTTCTTGTATTTAATATTAGTATTTTAATTTCATCACAAACCGGTCTTAATTTGCATTTATTTGATTGCTAGTGAGATAGAATATGTTTATTTATATTAGTGGTAATATATATTTCTCCTTTTAAAATTATTTATCATGCTCATTGTCCATTTTTTTTCTATTTTGTTATTTAAATTTTTAGTTGATTCCTAATAACTCTTTATATATTAAAGATACTGTTTTTCTATCATTTTCTTCCAGTTGATCATAGCAGTTTGTGTGTTTTTTTCAATGCATAGAATGTATGGTCTGGCTATAACTAACAAGCAGCCCACTTAAGCTAGCTCAAGTAAAGAAGCTTTAGTTTAAGGACACATGTGGAGAGGTAAAGGGACTCTTACGAAAATCTAAGAACTGGAGCTATAATAACAAGGAGCTGGGAGGCAGTGCAGGATCAAGGTGGTTCCAGGTACCCCAGCTGGTAGAGTTAGTGTGTCTCCAAATTAGTGCCCCATCACTGATGTGACGCAGCTAGCTATTTTTGATTTGCCTGCTTCTTTTTCTCCCACTATCGAAGGGTCTACTATATGGCCAGAATTGGCATTCGCTCTTCCCACCCTTGGTTTGGCCCATGATCCAGTGAACTCTCTCTTGTCTCCTCTACATCATGACTTTCTAGCTTTAGCTACCACTGCCAAAAAGCTATCCCCCCCTCCCCCATTTCTTGGTTCAGATTTTTGAGTGTGAGAAAGAGGGAGAGCAAGAGTGACAAGGGGGTAAAATGGGGTTGTGTGTGGACTTGACTGGCCTGACTTCACTGATCATGGAGGATCATAGGATGAGATCTGCTGGGACCCCATGCCTTCTTTAGGTCCAGCTGGCTGAGGTGGGAGGCAGTAGTACAGGGTATGAAATATAGCTGTCTGGGCAGCTGGGATAGTAGGCAATCATATTCCCTTAAAGAGAGTCTGAACATAACAGGTAATGATAAAAACTTTTTTTAAAAAAAGATTTTATTTATTTACTCATGACAGACACAGAGAGAGAGGCAGAGACACAGGTAAGAGGGAGAAGCAGGCAGGGAGCCTGATGTGGGACTCGATCCCTGACCCAGGATCACAACCTGAGCCCAAGGCAGATACTCAACTTCTGAGCCACCCAAGTGTCCCTCCCATCAAAAAAATTTTAAAAAGTTTTTAATGTGAAAGTAACTCATAGTGGGAAAAAACAAACAAATAAAATAACATGTTAAAGTCTCTGAATCCCAAACCCCCACTATATATCATATACAACAATTTGGTGCATTTTCCTCAGATCATGCAGAGTGTATAGTACATTTTACTTCCAATACATAAAAACATATTTTAAGCAAAAGTAGGATAATAATGATTTTCAATGTGTTTTTTTTTTTTCAACCAGTTCCATGACTGCTCACATAACTCCACCTTGTTTTCTCTAATGGCTGTATGTGCATATGGATGCAGGATCATTTATTTAATTGGTTCTTATTAATGATTATTTATGTTGTTTTCCCAGTAATTTCAGAGGCCAGAAATTGTTCCTTGTTTTGCTTGCTAAGGAGAATGGTGGTTATTCAGTTCTTTGTAACTCTGCTTGTGTGGGAAGGTTAAAGACTTTTTGTTCCAAAATCCCATGGGCACAGAGTCTCAGCTTTGCCATTGTTACAAGCCGGCATTGCTTGGTAGAGCCCTGGTTACTGTGCGGGCTGGTCCCCTGAGCCCTGCCCTGGAGAGGTAGCTTCCCTTCCCCCAACAGGTAGCCTCCTTTTGACCCCCTTCCTAGACAAAGAACCACTTGCCAAACAAATCCTGGGACTGTGGATCAAGCTGAGTGAAGGAGGCATCGCTGTCAATCCTTTTTTTTTTTTTTTTTAAGATTGTATTTATTCATGAGAGACACAGAAAGAGAGAGAGAGAGGCAGAGACCCAGGCAGTGAGAGAAGCAGGCTCCATGCAGGGAGCCCGACGTGGGATTCGATCCTGGGTCTCCAGGATCACAGCCTGGGCCTAAGGCAGACGGTAAACCGCTGCGCCACCCAGGGATCCCCTGTCAATCCTTTTATAACAGGAGCTGGCAAACTTTTTCTGTAAAGGGCCAGATAGTGAAGATTTTACGATTTGTAGGTCACAGGGTCTCTATTGCATCCATAAATGAATGGAGGTGGCTGTGTGCCAATACAGCTTTGTGGACACTGAAGTGTGAATCCCATATAATTTCATGTGCACAGAACATCATTTTTCTTTTGACTTTTCCCCAATCATTTAAGATATGTAAAAACTATTAGCCTGGGGCACCTGGGTGGCTCAGTTGGTTAAGTGTGCCTTCTGCTTGTGTCATGATCTCAGGGTCCTGGAAGTCTGCTTCTCCCTCTGTCTCTCCCCACCAGCTTGTTCTCTCTCTCTCTCTCTCTCTCTCTCTCTCTCTCTCAAATAAATGAATAAAATCTTTTTTTTTAAGATTTTATTTAAGATTTTATTTATTTATTCATAGAGACAGAGAGAGAGAGAGAGAGAGAGAGAGAGAGAGAGAGAGGCAGAGACACAGGCAGAGGGAGAAGCAGGCTCCATGCAGGGAGCCCGACGCGGGACCTGATCCAGGGTCTCCAGGACCACACCCCAGGCTGCAGGCGGCGCCAAACCGCTGTGCCACTGGGGCTGCCCAAATGGATAAAATCTTAAAACAAACAAACAAACAAACAAACAAACAAAACCCATTCTTAGCTTGCATACAAAAATAAGCAGAGACACCAATTTGGCACTTGTGGTTCTCATACTTCTAATTTTATAACCTGATTCCTTGAGTTCTTCACTTTGATTCTGCTGAGATGGCTTGTGTGTATCATTCAGTTATTGTTATTCTAGTTAGATCTTATGATGGAGAGTGAAGTCATTCATATTCTTAGTTCATGGCACCCTGTCCTCACTGGTCCCTACAAGGCCCCCCTCTCTTGTGGGTTTTTGGTTCCCTGATACCATCATCCTGTACCCCATCTTCTCAATAGCCAGCATTCTGGAGTATTTAATGTATGTTCTTTAGTCCATAGGATTCTGTTCTCGTTGGTTTTTTAAAATGAGCTTTTCAGGTTTGGTTCTTATAAGACAAGTATCATTGATTTGCATGTGTGTATCTTTAATTTATAGAAGTGGTGTTGCATTGCAGAGGGCATTCTCATTTTTCCACTTGGCTCTATATCTAAAAGCTTATCCCTGTTGCCATGTGAACATTGAGTCCTTGCACTAGTTAGAAACTTGGGCTCTCCTGGTGAGTACACCACCTTTCATTTCATTTTTAAAAAGAAGTGTCCCCCCCCCCAAAATAAATAAATAAATAAATAAACAAACAAACAAACAAATAAATAAATAAATAAAAGTGTCCTTGAGTGGAATTATGCGTGGCCTTGTGCCTCTTCAGAAATAGGTACCTTTGCCCTTATAAAGAGCAGGGAATTTGTGTATTTTAAAAATCAAAATTTTTTTGCCTTTTAAACTATAGATACCCATTAAAATTGTTAAAAAATTTAAAAAATTTTGTTCAAACAAAACCAAAGTCTAATTTATCCCTTTTAGTGTTCATTAATTTATTTAAAAATAATTTTATTGTATTTTTAAAAGTTTACATATTTGTTTTATTAATCTCTACACCCATCCTGGGGCTGGAACTCATGATGCTGAAATCAAGAGTCACTTGCTCCACTGACCAAGCCAGCTGGACACCCCATTAGTGTTCATTTCTATGGGTTTATTATTTTTTTTAAAGATTTTATCTATTCATTCATGAGAGACACAGAGAGAGAGAGGCAGAGACATAGGCAGACGGAGAAGCAGGCTCCATGCAGGGAGCCCGATGTGGGACTCGATCCCAGGACCCCGGGATCACACTCTGAGCCAAAGGCAGACACTCAAACCCTGAGCCACACAGATGCCCTCTATGGGTTTTAATCAACACATACAATGGCACAACTGTCACTGCTGTCACACACACAGAACACTACGGAGAGTTTAGTTGCCTCCAGTTCCCTCCTGCCCTGTTGTTGGTAGCTCCCCTCCTCACTCCTTGTCCTTGGCAATCACTGGTCATTTTTCTGTCCTAAGGTGATGCTTTTTCTGGAATGGGACATAAATGGGAGAATACTTGCTTTGCTTTTTGGGTATGGTTTCTTTTACTCAGCACCACACAGTTGCTGCTCCATTATCTTGTGGTGTTTAATGTCTATAGGGTTTGAATTTCTTTATAGATATTTTTGTTATTATAATAAGAAAATTTGTTTTCTGACATCTTTCTACATTAGGCCTCCTTTCCTTGGTATTTGTCTGGAACACAGTGAGCTCCTTGGGTCCGTGTACCCCCTGACTGCTCCTTACTTGACATCATACTATGGATATTCACATTGTCTCCTGTTTAATCAGTAGTGTTCCCGAGGGCTGGATCCCTGCTTTGTCTTTATGTCCTTGCTATTCATGGAGACCTCCCTCCCCCAGTTAAATTCCCTTTTGAGGATTTCTGAAGGCCACTTAATTCTTACCAAACAATTTTTTTTCTTTTATTCTGGAAAACAAGTGGGATTCATAAATTGCAACTATTGTCCATTGTTTTGAAATAGGTTCTCAGTGAGGCCTGGCTGCGTTATTTTTGCCAGACTAACTACAATTACTGCATAAGAGAACATGGTTTATCCATAGCATATCTGTGAAAAGATGTTTTTTTCCTGCTATTTGTAATACTCACTTGCAGATTGATTGATTTATAAAGATTTTTATTTATTTATTCATGAGAGATACACAGAGAGAGGCAGAGACACAGGCAGAGGGAGAAGCAGGCTCCCCATAGGGAGCCCAATGCAGGACTCAATCCCAGGACCCTGGGATCAACAACGTGAGCTGAAGGCAGACACTCAACCACTGAGCCACTCAGGCATCCCTCTAACAGCCTTCTTGTTGGTTTTGCAGCCAGAGCCCAAAGTTGGAGACCTGATTGAGATTTTCCGCCCTTTCTACAGACACTGGGCCATCTACGTTGGCGATGGATACGTGGTCCACCTGGCACCCCCAAGTAAGGATGCTAAGGGCCTCTGCTGTGCCAGGGCTGGGAGGAGAGGGAGATGGGGCAGCTGTGGGTAACAGGTGACCCCAGGTTTCTCCTTGATCCCCGACCAATGGTTGGTTCCTGAGTGCTGCAACAAGGCAGGTTGGTGTGGGGCCATGGTTTTCAAACTCTGCTCCTTGGAACCCTAGGGGCTCCTTCTAGGGGCTGAGGTGGGTTTCCAAGGGGATGGCCCTGCTTTTACAGTTTTAAATATTAAGGGTTTTTATCAAATATTCACCTATTAAGTTTAAACCTTCCTAAGAGGGCATGGGCTTTTGGGCAGCAGGCTTGGTGATGAATCTAGTTTCTACTCTCCAGTCTTGGTTGACTTATCTGTAAACTGAAGGTAAGAGGACTTAACTAGGAGAATTCTGAGAATTCTCTACCCCTTTTCTTAAACTTTTTACTTAAACTGAAGTATAACAAATACAGTACAGTGCACAAATATAGTAAAGTGTATAGTTGGTGAATTAAAAAAAAAGTCTCCATCGGTGTAACAATGACCAAGATCAAGATCTAGAACATTTCCACTACCCTAAGAGGCTCCCACATGCTGCTTCAGCATCCTCTCATCTTCCCTAAAGACAACCACTACTCTAGTTCTCTTGCCGTAGATTATTTTTGCCTTTTCTAGACCTTCACGTAGGATTTGCCACAGATTCTGTGCTCTTTTATGTCTGGCTTCTTACCCTAAAGAAGTAAGGCCGGCGAGAGTCACTGGGTTGTGAACAGCAGAGAAGTTCTTTTTCATTCTGTGTATTTTCTGTTATATGAACATATCTCAGATTGCTACCCATTCTTCTACCAATGGACATTGGATTGGATTCCAGGTTTTGGCTGCTGTGAACATAGTGGCTGTGGACATTCTTGGCCATATCTTTGCCCACCCCTTTTACCTCTAACTAATGGCTTCACCCTGTACTTACAGAGAAATCAGAAGTAAGCAGAGTATATGGCACCTTCCCCAGCTCCGACGAACCAAACCACCACCAACTGCACCCACCCAGTCTGCCATTTCTTTTGTTAAGATGTGAAAAATGCCTTGTCCTTGTTTAAAAAGCCAACCTCTATGTGTGGGTCCTGGGTGCTCTCTTTTGTGAGCACTGTGCTCCTCAAATTCCTCATCTCCTGTATTATGGTCCCACTCTCTACTAGATTATTCCTACTGGCATAGAAACCACTGTACTAGCCCCTGTTGTATAAGTACCGCGCGCTAACCGATTGCGCCACTGGAGCTCCTCCTGTTGATGAAATGAACAAACACTCCCTCGACCTCATGTCTTCCCTAGCTAATTCCCTATAGAGTGAATCTTTGATTGTCCACTGTGGCCCTCATCACTTCCTCTTGCCATTCTGTCTTTGGTTCCCTCCGCCAGTCTCTCTTACTTAGCCCCCTCCCAATGTAGCGCTTATCAAGGCTGCCGAAAGACTTTCCACATCTTAACAAAGCCACAGGTGAATTTTCTGGTCAAGGCTTACTTGGCTTCTTTGTAGCATTTGACATGAGATCTTCATCTGTGATCTTCTCTGGCACTTGTCTTTCTTCCTCTTTCACTGGGCCTTTCCTTCTTGGCCTCCTATGTGGGCTCCTCCTTCTCTCCCATATCCCTCTTCCTTACTCTCTCAGGTGGCCTCATTGGGCCCCTGGCTTCCAGTACTTTCTATTGGTGGGTGTTTCCTAAGCGTCCCCTCAGCGCAGGCCTCCCTGCTTAGCTTCAGACTTGTATAACCTCTTGATTACTTGGCATCTCCACTTGGGTGTACAATTGGTGCATTGAACTTGACATTCTCTGAAAGAAAGCCTCTGGTGGATGACAGCTGCTCGAGCCCAAAATCTAGGTATCATCCTCAATGCTTTTCACCCTGTATCTAATGCAACAGGAAATCCGGTTGTCTCTCTCTCCAAGAGGGACTCTGGGTCTAATCACTTGTCACTGTCTGCACTGTTGCACCCATCTGAAGCTCCTGCAGCTCGTTGCTGATCTCACTGCCTCTTACCCACTTGTGGCCAGTCCCTCCTTCCCTGGGCAGCCAGCACAACCATTCTAAAGTATAAATCAGATTATGTTACTTCTCTCCTTAAAGCAGTCCTCCTCCTCCTCCTTCTTCTTCTTCTTCTTCTTCTTCTTCTTCTTCTTCTTCTTCTTCTTCTTCTTCTTTTTCTTCCTCCTCCTCCTCCTTCCTTCTTCCTTCTTCTTTTTCCTTCTTCTTCTTCTTCTTCTCCTTCCTTCTTTCTTCTTCTTCTTCTTCTTCTTCTTCTTCTTCTTCTTCCTCCTCCTCCTCCTCCTCCTCCTCCTCCTTCCTTCTTCCTTCTTCTTCTTCCTTCTTCTCCTTCCTTCCTTCCTTCTTTCTTCTTCTTCTTCTTCTTCTTCTTCTTCTTCTTCTTCTTCTTCTTCTTCTTCTTCTTCTTCTTTCTCTTTCTTCTTCTTTCTATCAGTTCAAGTTTAATAGAAACCACAAAGACCAAAAGTGATGTCCCACTACTGGACACATCAGTTAGCCTGCCCATAGCACAGGTCAGACTATTTTCTCCAGAGGAAGAAAGGCTGGCTTCCCTGGCCCCTGCAGGAAAGGCCTGTTCTGTCCCATACCATGTCTGCACCAAATCTAAAGTCTTGTGTTTTAAGCATCATAGTAGTACTAGAGAGATTTTGTTTTCATGGCTGCCCACTGTAGCCTGGCACTAAAAGGGCCCAGTGCTTACTTCTACTTAGAGAATTATTATTTGCTCTTCTGCACATCAGGCTTGATAGTATCATTTCCAGGCTTCCAGCCACTTCCTCATGCTTGTCAGCTAACTGGAAGGCCTGAACTAGTCTCAGAGTCTCATCCACAGAGGAGCCAACAAGGGGGTCATTCTCAGTCATCTGCCGAAGCAAACCTATATCATCAATAATAAAGAAGCCCTTGAACGAGATACATTCATCAGCCTTAAAGACTCCATATTCCTGAGTGATGGTACATATGGCAGTCTGATACCAGGGGAATGTTCATGGGTCCCAGCCCTCCTTGTTTCTTGGGTGTGTTGATCCATGCCAGATAACAAAAATGATAATCCACAGAAGCACCAGCCACTCGGCAGTTGAGTGATCTCCATGGGGCACACAAAGGAGAAGTCAAAAGAGTGGAGGAAGAACACAACGTATTTTCCTTTGTAGTCGGAGAGGCTGATGCCTTTGAACTGGCTATCTGGTGTAGTGGCCATGGCTTTGAAGGTTGGGCCAGGGTGCCCAATTTTGGCATTTCCTGAAGACATCTTGCTGTTGGCACCTAACCACTCTTGAGTGCCAGACTTGCCCAGCCACCTCCCCTATCACACCACCCCAAGTTGAGTAAGACAGGTCCCTGGGGGGATGAGCAAAAGGCCATGACCAGGGTGTGGGGGTGCTTCTCACCATCTCTGAGACAGAACTCACCAAAAATCAGTCAGGAAGAAGACATCCCTTAGAGCTCTTGATCGGCTTTCTCATCACACTTAGAATAAGCTTCAGAGTCTGTACTGTCACCCAGAGTCTGTACCGGACCTGGTGTGGTCTGGCCTCTGCCTGCCTCTCTGACCCAGATCTTTCTCTCCGGTGCTCTTGGGGTCTCTAGACATCAACCACATTGGCCTTCCCACAGCCTCTGGAGCATTCCATGCTCTCCCTTCCCAAGCTCTTGCTCTTGCCCTTGCTCTTCCTTCTGTATGTGATGCTCTTCCCTGGATCTCAGCATAGCTGCCTCCTTTCCATCACTCCAGACTCCACTCAATACCTATTCCCTGGAGCAGCCCTCCATCCTGGGCCTTCCGGAGTCATCCCCTCCTGTAATATTTCACTTAATCTGATCCATAACACTTTCTCAACCTAAAAGTACCTGATTTTGTTTATTTTTTAAAGGTTTATTTTATTTATTCATTCATGAGAGACACACAGAGAGAGGCAGAGCCATAGGCAGAGGGAGAAACAGGTTCCCCGCAGGAAGCCCAAAGCAGAACTCGATCCCAGGACCGTGGGATCACATCCTGGGCCAAAGGTGGCAGACGCTCAACTGCTGAGCCACCCAGGTGTCCCTGCTTTTGTCTGTTTGTTCATTGTCGGGGTGGGTCCTCTTACTAGAATGTGAGCTACTTAAGTGCAGATACACTATCTAGTTTATTGCTGCTATCTCCAGCACCTTGGACGAGCACTGCCCCCCACCCCGCCACCCCGCTAGTAGGGCTGCAGCATTGACTACACTGAGTGGATGTCCCTGGTGGACAGGAGACAGGGAGGGCATGGCAGGGATCCTGGGGACAGGTGTGCCACAGTCATTAGACAGATGATGCTCCTTAAAGGGAAAAGATGCTTCCACATGCATCTTCTCACTCGAACTTCACAGGAATCTTGCCAGATAGGTCAGGACTGACTCATGCCACTCAGAACATGGTAGAGATTTGAGTTAGAAGGAAGCTTGGGGAACAACTCTGATGATAATGACAGCTGACACCTGCTGGGCACTTACTCTGTGCCAGGCACTGGAGAAAGCTGTGTACGTGGCCAGCTCCCATAACCCTTGCAGCCCCCCACCCCACCCCCATGGTGCTGTAGAGACAGGAAGGGCTGTTATTGTCCCTGTGCTACAAGGAATTGGGGACTCAGAGGTTAAGCACCTTGTCTAAGGTCACACAGCAGGTGGGAGGTGGTGGAAGTGGGACTCGACTCGAACTCTGGCTGTCTGACTTTCAACTCTGCCTTTACCCACGATGCCACACTACCCAGTCTGACATTTTCCAAAACTCAGTCATCAGATGTGTGCCACAGCCATGTGCCCTTTCTGTGATTGTTTAATATTTTCCTTAATGGACTAACTTTAAAAATAGAAAGGAATTTTTTTAAAGGAGCTTTAAATAACTATATTGATATGTGTTTGTGTATCAATTTTGGTACGTATTTGGGGGCTTGCACATCATTGGCTCAGCAAAGTTAAGTGACATGTCAAGACCACTCAGTGATGCAGCCAGAATCCAAGCCCAGAGTTTCTGATCATCAGCCCGTGCCCTCGTGTACCACCCCCAGAGTGGCACTCTCAGCGCAAAGTTTAAGGAAGCCTTACTCTTAGGGTTTGACTGTATACATGCCTAGCCCTGAAGTGTGGAGCCTCCTTAAGTTTTGTGGTGTAGGCACCCTGCTTACCTTACCTCCTTCTCAGCCTTGCCACCCTCCCTACTTGGGGGCTGAAACTCACGTGGTCCCATTCCCACATTGACCCCCTCCACAGACTCAGAACTCTGCATGGCACCATGTCTTTTCTTTACTCCAATGGCTCCTTCAAGCATCTCCTGCCCTATTGGTAGGAAGCCTGAACTACCCTGGTTTTCTAAAATCTCAGGAATCTACTCATGGCAAAGGGGTTTAGTCCTCTTTGGAAAGGCCTGGAATCTGATCAGCCCCTCTTGCCATTGCTTGTTCCTGTCACATGGTGTCACCTGGAAGACTGTTCCTGCGCAGCTAACAGGGTGCCTCCGCTGCCAGGAAAGGCCTTGGAGATCCCATCCCAGCAGGGCCGCAGAGGCTCTTCGAGGGATAGTGGGTCTCTCTGGGGCCTGCCTCTTTGGTACGTACACACTTTTTCAGCCATCACAAACAAAGCACCCTCACATTGTGTAGGTTGACTGCCTTGGGACATTTGCTCAGTTTCTGTGCTGACATCAGCCTTTCCTCCACACCATCCTGGTCCTTGTATTGACCCTAGACTCCCTTTCTTTGAGTTTTCTTTTCTTTTTTTTTTTAAATTGAAGTGTAGTTGACATACAATGTTATATTAGTTTCAGGTGTACAGGGTAGTGACTGGACAAGTCTACATGGTGTGCTGTGCTCACAAGTGTAGCCATTATCTGTCCCATACAATGCTAGTACACCACCACTGACTATATTCCCTGTGCTGTGCCTTTTATCATCATGACTTATTCATGCCATAGCTGGAAGCCAGTACCTCCCAGCCCCCTTCACCCATTTTTTCCCATCTCCCCATTCCTTCCCTTCTGTAACTACCAGTTTAGTCTTATGGGTCTGTTTCTGCTTTTCATTTCTTTAGTCACTTCTTTTGTTTTTGGGATTCCACTTATGAGTGAAATCATATGGTATTTGTCTTCCTCTGTCTGACTTCTGTCACTGAGCACAAGTAACCTTCTAGGTCTGCCATGTTGTTGCAAAGAGCAAGATCTCATCCTTTTTAATGGCAGAGTAATATTACACAGACAGTTTAATTTCTGGAGCTTTGTTGCCCCTTTTCCCCTCAGCCTTGGCCGGAGCCATGCTGGTGTACCTACGGGCCTCCCTGGCAATGCCTCTCCAGCTGTGGGTCCATTTGGGTACTTTGCCCCAAGGAGAACTACAAATCCATTCGCGTTTTCTGCAGTCTTCAGCTTTGTATTTGTCAGGGAGTGTAGCCTTGATGGAATCACAGAAGGTTCATAATCTGTTCCCCCAGGGATATGGGGGTGCTCAGGGCCCATATTTGTATAAAAGAGGGCCCCTGAGGAGCCACAGGGTGAAGAAGGCCCCTTCTCTAGGTTAAAAAAAAAATCAGAATAAATCATGAAACTTCACCATTCCTCATTTCAGATAAGGAAACCAGGGCCCAGACCACAAGCACCTTCTCCAGAGCCACACAGTGTATGTCTGACCCTGCTCCCTTTTCCCTTTCCTTCTGCTCATGCTGTTGTGGAGGGTGCCAAGGGCCTGTGGATGGACCCCTCTGGGCCTGCCCAGAACCAATCTCTCTGTTTTCCCTTTGCCAATCCTCAGGTGAGGTTGCGGGAGCTGGTGCGGCCAGCATCATGTCCACCCTGACCGAGAAGGCCGTGGTGAAGAAGGAGCTGCTGTACGATGTGGTCGGGAGAGACAAGTACCAGATTAATAACAAACACGATGACAAGTACTCGCCACTGCCTCCCAGCAAAATTGTCCAGCGGGCGGAGGAGCTGGTGGGGCAGGAGTTGCCCTATTCGCTGCCCTGTGAGAACTGTGAGCACTTTGTGAATGAGCTGCGCTACGGAGTGGCCCGCAGTGACCAGGTGCGTCCTTCAGCCTGTGTCCCTGGCCGCATGAGCCAGAGCAGTCTGCGGGCTGATGGTGGCCGGGCATTGGTGTGGCCAGGCCCCATAGACCAGTGCAGTCTGTGAGTCACAGCCAGGGTGGAATCTTGTGTTTCCAGGATAGTGCTGGTTGTCTTTTCTCACTTAAACATTGCTGAAAGTGAAGAAACCACACCAGAAGTTTCCTGGGACCTTGCACAGAGGAGCTGTGGAGTATAAACAGCTCATTTTCTGAGGCTTAACAGAATTTCAGTTTGTCCACATTAAAAAAAAAAAAAGCAGATTTCTTAGCATGTCTAATGATGGGAGTTTTGCTGGTCCATAATATCCTGCTTTAAGACCTGTACTGCATGCCAGCGGCCGTTCCCATGATCAGAGATCTTATAATCAGCTCCCAGGCCTGGCTCACCTGGCAGGCTGGCCCCTAGGAGATGAACAGCAGGGAAGTCTGGGCGTGGTGCTGACTCTCCGGGGTAGGTCACGGCCCCTGTAGAATATGCACTCTCAGGACTAACCAGGGCCCATGGTCTTGTATTTGATTATGCTCTTTGTGCAGCACATGCTCAGTGAGGCTATTGTTGATTTCCTTGACAAAGTACTTTTTGTATGAAGCTGCTGCCTCATTTGTTCTTACTCCATGAGGTTCTGTAAAGACCAAAGGCCACATGGTTCCTCCTGCATTATCTGCAAACTGTTTCTCCCACCCTGACAAATGGCTTAGCTAGAAAGGCTCTGGGGACAGATGCTCTCATGCAGGTTCCCTCCAGGACCCCTGCTGCCACAAAGCCATGCTTGATGACCTCTGAAGGAAAGCTCAAGACTGAGTGGCAGTTAAACCCCAGGAGGTCAGGAGCTTCCTCCAAACCTTGTCGTTGTGGCTTCTGGCTGCTAGGAATGCCAGGTCTGGATCCCAACTGATGTAAATGACACTGGTGTGTTTCCTGACAGTGCACATGGCTATGGTGGGCACATTTACGGGCAGCGCCAAGATCTATATTTTTTAATCATTGAAGACCTCCAAATTCTTCTCTGTAATGGTCCTTGGGGGTTTTGGCAGCCACAGCATACAATTGAGGCAAGCTGTGCTTGGGGAGTGAGGGCATAGTTGACCGTCTCAGGTAAGGGTGTGTTAGTTTTGGGTACAGAGTTTGTATTTTCATCCTTTTTATTCCTGGGATTTGGGGGTCCATGGGCTTCGTTGGATTTCTTGGCATCAAATGATGATGAGACATCTTTTTCTTTGCTGTTCTTGATTCTGCCTAAGTGCCTGGCTCTGTTCATGGGTGCAATTTCTCCATCCTTGATCGTGACACTCTTTTAATGCTGCATGTGGGAAAAAGTACAGTTCTGCTGATTTGGGGACTTGTGCTTTTATTTGGGGGCAGTGGCTATGACAGCAAACTCTCCCTTTGCATTGTCACAGGAGCTGTTGCGCCTGGATAGTGCTGGAAATAGGAAGAAATCGAGCTTTCTCTCTGATTCCTGCTGATTTCAATTGTTTCCACTGTGTTTTGTTCATGTCAGTGTTGCTGCTATACATGCAGGCTATAAAGACATTGTGGCTCACAGACTGGGGAAGGAGATGGGGAAAGGGCCACTGCATACACTGGCCTGGTAGACAGACTGCAAATTAAAAAAATTTTTTTTAAAGATTTTATTTATTTATTCATGAGAGACACACAGAGAGAGGCAGACATGAGACTCGATCCCAGGACCCCGAGATCATGACCTGAGCCAAAGGCAGCCACTCTACCACTGAGCCGCCCAGATGCCCCCAGATTGCAAATTAAGACAATAGACTTCTGCGTTGGGATGTTTTCTAAGGTGCGGAGTGCATCCTCAACACTCAGTAACAGAAGGCATTTTCTTGACATTGAGTCTGAAGCTCTTGATGCCTTGGGAGCTTGAGTCTCTGGCCCTCATGTTTTAGTTCTGTGGCATACTGTCAGGTTTTCGAATTGTCCACAAAGAGAGCTGTGTACATCAAACGTAATTGTTGAAGTAAAAGAAGAGCTAGCCACACCGGACCTAATTACTGAAAGCTTATTAGAGGCAGACCAAGCCCTGGTCTGAACCACCAGTAGCTATGCTTGAGTGCGCTTTTAGGCATGTGAAATAAACCAGGTCAAGGACCAGAGGTCAAAGGGGAGGGGGAATGTTTCAAACAAAGTGAAGGATGAATCTGAGCTCTGTGCTGTGTGTGTGTGTGTGTGTGTGTGTGTGTGTACACTCAGCAGCCCCCTAACAAAGCCAAACTATCACATCAGCAGTCATCTGCTTCTATTAGATCTGTGTAACATGTAGTTGCCTATGTGCTATGTCAGTGATGTTTCCTGTGCTTGTTTATTAGGACGTCACCTGTTTATCCTCCTAAAACTCCCATACTCTCTGTCTCACTGATGGGATGGTTTCCTCCTCATCTTCTTGCCTTTTCAAGTTTTGGAAACATGCTGTTGGCATTTGAGGTTAACAGATGCACAAAGGTTTGGTATCAGGTTTCTGGGCTTACTATGCATGCTTCTATCTCTTTGTCTTTTGCTGTTTTTTTTTCTGGAAAATATTTTATAATTTAAGTTCTAAATTTTGAAAGTAATGCATGCACACAATTTGAAAAAAAACCAGTACTCAAAAAAGATCTGTAACAAAAACCTCTCTCTACGCCTCCCCATCTGCCCAGGCAGCCACTCGTCTCTCTTTCAGTTTGGCATTTACCTATCTCTGAATTTCTAAGCAATATATGTATACTATCATCTTTTTTAAAAAAATATTTTATTTATTTATTTGAGAGAGAAAGAGTGAGTGCAAGAGCACAAGTGAGAAAGGGCAGAAGGAGAAGAAGAAGCAGACACCCCGCTGAGGAGAGAGTCCAACGTGGGGCTTGATCCCAGGACCCTGAGATCATGATCTGAGCTGAAGGCAGAAGCTCAACTACTGAGCCACCCAGGTGGCCCTGCTACCATCTTTTTATTTGAAAAATTTAGATATGCTCTTTTGACAACTTCTTATGCTAAGTGAAGACTAAACTGTTTAAATCATTGTTCCTGCCCTTTCCCCATTCTCTCCCTATCATTTTATATTATATATTTTTATTAAATTAACATTCAGTGTTTGTGTTATGTTTATGTAAATTTTACTCACAGCTGAGAGTTGTAGTGTATTATGATTTTTTTTTTTTGCGGGGGAAGGGTTTCTTTTTTCTTGAAGATAATTATCTCCTTACATCACTCATTTTTCCTTGTACCTGTTGTCAGTTCTCATATAGTTTTCCACAAGGGAAATCATGTCCACTAGTCTATCATTTTCAAGATGTTCCCCTTGGACACATCCATCCCCAGAGATGGCCATTCTGCTGTCTATGCTGGTTGACTCTCAGCTGACTACATGGCTTTACCCCAGGACCTCCCTTGTCTGTCATTCTTGAGGTTTTCTTTGCCTTTCTCTTGGATTGGATTCCCTGGTTCTATGAGCTCTTCATTTCTTTATTTCTCTGTTTTTCTCTCAATTTAGGAAGACCACATCCCTCAGAAGTGGGCTTTGATTAGAAAAACAGCACTGGAATAACGGGGCCACCAGGCTCTGGGGGCACACCTCTCCCCTCTGGTTTGGCTACTGTATGAGCTTCCTATGGCTGCTATAACAAATCACCACAGATTTCATGGCGAAAAACACCCCAAAATTATTGTCTCACAGTTCCCGAGGTCAGAAGTCTGAAAATAACTATACAGGGTAACATCAAGATGCCAGCAGGGCTCTGCTCTTTTCTGGAGATTCTAGGGGAGTATCTGTGTTCTTGTCTTTCCCAGCTTCTGGAGGCTTCCTGTACTTGTGGCCTGTCCTCCATTTTCAAAGCCAGCAATTGCCAGTTGAGCCTTTCTCACACTGCATGATACTGATGCTTCTGACTCTCTCTTATATCTTTTGAGAAACTTTGTGATGACACTGGGCCCACCTGGATAATCCAGGATTATCTCTCTCCCCCCCTTTATTAAGGTAAATTGATTAGCAATTTAATTCCATCTGGAATCTTAGTTCCCCCTTAACCATGTAACACAATATACTTAGAGGTTCCTGGAATTAGGACATAGACACCTTGAGAGGGACCATATGTCTCCTTACCCCTATTCTCTACAGCTGGTCCAAAGTTGTTGCCCTGGAGTCTGCCCTCCCCATTGCTCTCAAGTTCCCTTCTATCCTCTCCTGCGCTGCAGTGCCCTCTTCTGTGGCTCACATCTTCCCTGGTTCACCTTCTTGTTTTGGTGGAACTTCCTTCAGCAGCTTCTTGAAAAAGGATGTATGGAAGGTATGTTTTTTGAAACCCTCATTTCTGAATTATTTTTTATTTTACTCTTCCACTTGGTTTTATGGTTTGGGTACAGAACTCTAGGTTAGAAACTTTTACTTTGGACTTTTGGAGGCAACGTTCTACTGTCTTCTTGCTTCCAGCATCTCTTTGGAGAAATCTAAAGTCATCCGAACTCTTGATCGTTCCTGTTTCCTGTTTTTCTTCCCCTGCTCTAGCAATCGCAGTATCTTTTCTTTATCTAATTTTCTAGAATTTCACAGTAATTTGCCTTGGTGGGGGTCTACGTTTATCCACTAAGAGGGGCCTCAGAGCACCATTTCAATCTGAAAACGTATGTCCTTTAGTCCTGTTAATTTTCATGAACTATTTCACTCTTGATTCGCCTCTGAGTTTCCTATATTATTAACATATATTAATCAGATGTTGGACTGCCTGGATTATTCCTTATTTTTTATCTTTGACTTCTATTTTCTGTGTTTTTATCTTTTTGGTATATTTTTTTTCCTAAGAGATTTCCTCAACTTTATCTTTCAAACTTTTTATTGACTCTGTCATTTCCATTGTACTTTCTAAGAATTGTACCATGTTCTTTTTAAAAAAGATTTTATTTATTTATTTGAGAGAGAGAAAACACAAATGGAGGGAGCAGAAGAGGGAGAGGGAGAAGCAGACTTCCTGCTGCGTAGGGAGCCTGACACGGGGCTCGATCCCAGGACCCCAAGATCACGACTTGAGTTGAAGGCAGACGCTTAACCGACTAAGCCACCCAGGTGCCCTATAGCACCCTGCTCTTATTTATTGGATGCAATATGTTCTTTTATTCTCTGATGATAGTTTTTAAAAAGATGTTTTCTAGATATGATTTGTTTCTTCAGATTGTTTTTTATTTGTTTTGCTCTCTATTTTGTTTTATTTTTTAAGATTCTATTTATTTGACAGAGAGAGAGAGAGAACACAAGCAGGGTGAGTGGCAGGCAGAGGAAGAGGGAGAATCAGGCTCCCTGTAGAGTAGGGAGCCTGATGCAGGGCTCGATCCCCGGATATTATCCCCTGGGATAATAACCTGAGCTGAAGGCAGACGCTTAACCAACTGAGCCACCCAGGCATCCCTGTCTTCTGTTTCATAGGTCCTTCTCAGATGTCTAGTTTCTTGGTCATTTGCCAATGATTAAGGGTGGGGGATTTGCTGCCTAATGGAAGCTTTGAATGAACTGGAAGGGGACAGTGGCTTGTTGACTTTGAGTTTCCCTCCTGGATGATAAAGGTGGACAGTTTGGGAGTCCTTGGCATGAGTATCTTTTCTTTCTTTCCTTTTTTCTTTCTTCTTTTTTTTAAAGTTTATTTATGTAAGCAATCTGTATACCCAGTGTGGGGCTCGAACTCACCACCCCAAGATTAAGAGTCGATACTCCCCCGACTGAGCCAGCCAGGCACCTCAGATATCTTTTGTTTCCACTTGGGCTGGTCAGATTCTCCAGGAAAGTTTTCCTGACTCTGGTGTGGTAGGTAAAGTTCTGGGGGAGCAGAGAGAGGGAGGAAGGCCAAGAGTCTCACAGCATGTTTATGGTCTCCCAGTCCCTTGTTTTTGGTATGATATCTGCATCCTCATGTGCGCTTCTCGATTCCCAGGCCCCCAAGGCTTCTTCATCCTCCGCAGAGAATAAACTTTCAGACTTCTGCTGTCATTGGGCAGGAGGTGGGGTGGGGGCATCTGGGGATCTAGCTGAAGCTCTTTCTCTCTGCTGTTTCCAGAAGTATTTGCTGTTGCAAATAGCTGACCCTTCCCGAGTCTCCTGTTGTATAATTCGGATTGATCCTCAACTTTTCCCACTGCTGCTTTAGAATTTAGAGTTCTGTAGGTCCTTGTGGAATTACACCTAAAACAAATGCCTTACTGGGAACCCTGGGTGGCTCAGTGGTTGAATGTCTCCCTTTGGCTCAGGGGGTGATCCTAGGGTCCTGGGATTGAGTCCCACATTGGGTTCCCTGTGGGGAGCCTGCTGCTCCCTCTGCCTATGTCTCTGCCTTTCTCTCTGTGTCTCTCATGAATAAATAAATAAATAAAATCTTTTTAAAAACCCAAAAAACAAAAAGCAAATGCCTTACTTTACTCTTGGTTAGGTTTCAGGAGGGAGTGAAATTTGACATGTGTTCACTTTTTACCCTGAGATCTACTCTTACTTTTACAGCATTTCTTTTTTTCTATATGAGCAATAGAAGTCAGAAATACTAATAATTTAAAGTATCGCGTCACTACTACTCCTAAGTGGGTCATTTATATAAGAACCCATAAAGAGCACCTTTGTGCCTGGCAGAGCCGGGTGCGGGGGATGCAGTGAGGAACAAGATAAATGACACAGGTGAGGTCCTTGCTCTTCCTGGAGTCACAGTAGTGACCTAGTAAGTGTTCGAGAGCAGTTCCTGGGCCATCTCACACTTGCTTCAAGGGCTCCCCGATGGCCAGACAGGATGTCAGCCATCTGGGCTTCATCTCATCCATTCCACTACTACCCCTGGGGACTTGTGTGCTTTAAATACATACTGTGGATTGGGTTGTACTGCCCTGGCCAGCTGACTCCATGCAGCTGTCCTTTCCCCAGCCAGCCCTCATTTCTCTGCCAATATTTGTTGACTCCTGGGTTTGTCAAGTGGGCCAAGGGGTGCATGAGTCTCCTTGAGCTGAATGTTCTTGTTGAATGTACAGCCCGTACTTGGATTCCCAATGGGCTCTGACCTCCCCTGCTCTCTCTTGCAGGTCAGAGATGCCGTCATGGCGGCTGGCATCGCAGGAGTGGGCTTGGCAGCCATGGGCCTCATTGGAGTCATGTTCTCAAGAAACAAGCGGCAGAAGCAATAAGTTGAAGGGATTATCCTATCAGCAGTGACTTTATATATTTAGGAGTTCTCGTTGCACCAGAGGTTTTGAGGTTTGGTTTGTGGATTTCATTCTGTTTTATAATAAGGCTTATTTTTACAGAATAAAATAAAGCCCCAAAGGGGAGGATTTTACTGGAAGAAATGCAGCAGGAATTGCCTGGTGTGAAGTCTATTAAGGGCACAGCTGGGCTCTGTGTCTGGCCACACCAGATTGTGCTGTGGCCCTTTGGTGGTTTTCTCTTACTTTCTCTTTGTGGCTGCATTCTTGATCTTGCAGGAGACAGTCCAGCTCTAGTTCTTTCAAGTAATGGGAATTTCTGGTTGTGGGGAAACAGGGGAACAGCAAGGGAGATGCACAGACCTGGCTGATAATGCAAGAACAAGGACCATTGGACACCTAGAATCCTTGGCCTGGAACTAGAGCCAGCATGGTTTCTAGGACTCCGCAGCTGGAGTCTATGGATGTTCCATGAAGTAAAACCCGAACCAAAGAAAACTTCTGCCATAAGGAAAGTCAGTAGATGCTCTTTCCAATCTTGTGGAAACCTCCTGTATCTCCTTCTGTTCTCCACATCCTTCCTCTGCCTTGTGGCTCCTACTCCCCAACGCTCCTGCTTCCTTTCCTCTTGGGCTTGCTGCAAGCCCCAAATCCGATCCCACACCCCTCCTGGGCCCTTCTTCCTGGGTCCCCTCAGTTTCACTCTACCCATGGACTGAGGCTCTTGGCTTTCCAGCTCATCCTATTCATGGGCCAATCAGCTCTGCCCAGGAGGATGGGTCACATGGTGGGGAGTTGCCTCAGACCTTCCTGGCTGTGGCTGCCCACATGACTGGCCTCCTGGTGGTGGAGCCCTCCTGGGAGGGGGTGGGGATGAGGCAAGACCTGTCATGGCTGGTCACTTGAGTACTGCTGCTACTGCTCGCTGGACTTGGCAGATGTTCAAAGTTGCCATTTCTCTGAAGGAGGCTTTCATGGCTTCCTCAGAAATATTCTGCTGGGACAAACTGGCCTTCCATCCACAGGGCAAGGCTTGCCATCTGGTTGCAAAAGTTTCTTTTGTTGATCTTGGTTGTCTAGAGACTGGATGGGAGCCCAGGCAGGACTCACAATGGCTCCATTTGAGTACTCTGGTCCAGAGTAAACACATGCATCCTGGGATCGAGCCTGCTTCTCCTTCCTCTGCTGGCCGCTCCCCCTGCTTGTGCGCTCTCAATCTCACTCTGTCAAATAAATAAAACCTTTAAAACAAAACAAAACATAAGTGCCTTTCCACATTCTGTGAGCTGTTCTAGCAAGTCATTGAACCTAATAGGGGTCATGGGAACCCCCAATGTATAACCCATGGATAGAAGGACAAGGGCCTTGGACTTGTGGATGACATCTGAAAGCAGGAGCAGGGGCTATAATCCTCTGGGACTAAGCCCTTACCATGGGGTCTGTGCTAGCTCCAGGTATCACTGTCAAAATTGAAATGAATTGTTGAACATCCATTTGGTGTCTGGAGAATCGCAGGATTGGTTGATGGTGTAAGAAAACACTCCAAGAGGTTCCGGCAAAGTCTCAACCCACTAGGGAGATATAATCATTCTCGATTTGTTTGCATCTAATAAAAATCTCAAACTACATACTGAGAATGTTGGCCTATGGCATGGAGAAATTGACAAATTCTCCATCATGGGGGGAAATCTCAATACACCGCTCTTAGAAACTGATAAATCAAGAGACACAAAAATCAGTGAAGTTATAGAAAATTTGAAAAACTTACCAATAAGCTGATTTCATACATATGGCACAGTATATCCTAACAGTGCACCATATAGTATATAGATAGTACAGTTGTGGCATACAGATTCTTCTTGACCATGCATGAAGGAACATTTGTAAAAACTGGCCATATCCTGGGCCCTAAAGCAAGTCTCAGCAAATTTCAAGAGACTGGTAACATAAAGATTATCTTCTTTAATTATAATGCAATTCAATTAGAAATCAGTAATGAATTGATAGCTAGAAAACCGTTCTACTTCAAGAAATTTTAGAGCACATAAAGGAAATCCTCATGTACTGTTGGTGGGCATGCACATTGGTGCTGCCACTATGGAAAACAATATGAAGATTCATCAAAAAATTAAAAATAGAACTACCATATCCTGCACTTCCATTTTTGGGTATTTATCCAAAGAAAACAAAAACACTAATTCAAAAAGATACCTGCACCCCTGGGTTCACCGCACCCTTATTTACAATAACCAAATATGGAAGCAACCTAAGCATTCATCGATGGACGAATGAATAAAGAAGATGTGGTCAATGGAATATTCAATGGAATATTATTCAGCCATAAAAAGAAGGAAATCTTGCTATTTTCAACATCATGGATAGACCTTGAGGATATTATGCTAAGTGGAATAAGTCAGACAGAGAAGACAAATACTGTATGATCTCACTTATATGTGGCATCTAAAACCAAACAAAACCAAACCCCAAATAAGCAAACAACAACCACAAACCAAAACAAAACAAAAAAACTAAGTGATGGATAAAGAAGAAGTAGTTGGTTGCCAGAGGTAGCGTAGAGAGGCTAAATGGCTGAAGGCGGTTACAAGGTAGAAACTTTCTGCTATAAAATAAGTAAGTCATGGGGATGTAATGTATAGCACGATATTATAGTTAAAGTAAGGTATTGTTTATTTGAAAATTGCTAAAAGAGCAGGTCTCGGAAGTTTACATCAAGGGAAAAAAGGAGGGGGGAGAAATTGCTAGGATGGCTTAGAAGAGGCAGTCCAGAGGAGAGGAAGAGAACCCAGTGCCCAGGAGTGAGGCTTCCCCAAGGAGAAAGAACACAGAGCCTGAAGAATGAAGACCATCCTGAGAGGTGTTAGGAGCCTATTCCTTGTAGATACATTAGTGATGAGCACACGGAACACTTAACTAACAAAGAAGATGATACAGAAATTCCTTACAAGAAATTCTACCATAATTCACAAGAAACCTCAGTGAGGAAGACCATATAAATATACCCATGTAGTAAGGCAACTACAAATACCGTTTCTGGCCAAAATAGTGATGTAACTATTGGAAGGATGAGGGTAAGGAAACTGTGGGTGAGGGTGGGTGAACAGTAATGATGCTAAGCCTTAATTTTACAAAGAAGTCATTGCTATTTCCATTGTAAAAACCCAGAAGGAGCAAAAGTATGTTCTTGAAAATTTTAGAAACAAAGAGCAGAACACAAAGGACAAGTGATTGCCTCTGGAGAAAGGAAGTAGGAGGTCCAAAGGATGTTCTTTTCTATTATGCACACTGCAATGCTACTGACTTTTAATCTATGTGTGTAACTGTATACATTACTGTGTTAAAACAATAAAATGATGTTTAAGAAAAAGAAAGTGCCTAATGCATATAAAATACCATATAGAAACAAAACCGAAACACACATACAAAACTACAAAACCCGGGATCTCTCCTCTCTGTAATCCTAAAATCCAAAAGCTCTAAAAACCCAAGGTAGGTGGCAAATCACATGAAGGAAAACGTGCCTTGAGCAGATGTGAGGCTTTTAATAAGCTTTATTTATCCCATCTCATGCATCAGTCATAGCTTCCACTGCAGAAACAGTAACATGTTTCATTAGGAAGTATTACCTGACTGCCCATTCCTGTCCCTGACCTCTTGATTATATGCACCGTATTTTCTATCTGAAATCCAAAAACTTTCAAATTCCAAAACACACGTATGTCTTAAAGGATTTGCCTAAGACTTGTCACGTTTTATACTTCCTACAGGGATATATATGTGTTTACAAAGAAAAAGAACTTGAAGGATATATTCAAACCTGGTATGATATGTGGTGACCTCTGGGGACGGGGAAGGGAGATTTCAGCCTTATTCAAGGTGCCCAATTTTTGGCAAGAACAGCATCATTTCTAATTTCATAAAGGATACGCTGTTAAAATACAGAGACTACTAGAGTCACCGATATCATATTCCTAATTTATAGAGCTAAATTCAGCCTCTATGAAGAAGGCATAGACTGAAGAGAGGATCTCCACCAGGAAACATACTGGAATCAGGGTCTGCACCAAGGTCATCATGTTAAGATGAGGTCATCAGGGGATCCCTGGGTGGCACAGCGGTTTGGCGCCTGCCTTTGGCCCAGGGCGCGATCCTGGAGACCCGGGATCGAATCCCACGTCGGGCTCCCGGTGCATGGAGCCTGCTTCTCCCTCTGCCTGTGTCTCTGCCTCTCTCTCTCTCTCTCTCTCTGTGACTATCATAAATAAATTAAAAAAAAAAAAAGATGAGGTCATCAGGGTGAGCCCTAAGCCAACAGGACCGGTTTCCTTGTAAGAAAAAGTAGCATAGACACAGGGAGAAGAATGCAATGTGAAGACAAGGAGACACACAGAGGAAAGACAGAAGCAGACACTGAAGCCCTATGGCTAAAGCCAAGGAACGCCAAGGACTGCAGCAAACCCCCAGGAACGAGGTAGGAACAAGCACGGAGTCTTCCCCACAGGCTCACAGAGGGTATGGCCCCGCCGACAACTGATTTCTGACTGCCAGACTCCAGAACTGTGAGACGATACATTTTTGATATCTTGAGCCCCCTCATTTGTGGTACTTAGTGACAGCAGCCCTCACACATCACCTGTGCCTACTCATTCATGACCTCTCAGGTCCTGGATGACACGATCCATAAAGAATTATGTCTGCCTCAAACATTAGCATGTCTACAGCACTGGTCCACTGTCTCACACAAACCAGGTGTTCAAAAAAATGTGTGAAAGGATGGAGTCTAGAAAGAAATTTCAGGTGAAACTCAAGTATTGATGGGAATGTTTCAGGAACCCTCAACCACTGAGTCGTGGCACCAGAAAAGAACCACCAGTTACTAAGTACAAGCTATTGCTACTAGTAACATTAACAGCCAAAGTTAAGGGATTAGTGTCTTTTCTTTTTAAAGGAATAGGAATTAAAACTAACTCAGAGTCATCCCCGTAATAAGTGACACTGTCATTCCTTTGCATGCTTCTATGTTTTCTTGAACGTCAGTGGGATAAGTGGAATCAGAAAGGTATGCAAACCCTCCTCCTGTGTCTCTGCCCCCCCCCCATAAATAAATAAATAAATCTTAAAAAAAAAAGGCAAAAAAAGAAAGGTATGCCAAGGGGCACCTGGGTGGCTCAATGGTTGGGCATCCGCCTTTGCCTTAGGTTGTGATCCCGGGATCCTGGGATCAAGTCCCATATCAGGCTCCCTGAGGGGAACCTTCCTGTCTCCTCATCTCTCATGAATAAATAAAATCTTAAAAATAAAAAAAGAAAGAAAGAAAGGAAAAGAAAAGAAAACAGAAAAAAGAAAAGAAAAGACAAGACAAGACAAAACAGACATGCCGAGAATTACATTCAACTTTGGCATATTCATGAAAGAGTATTTTACAGGAGTAACACATAAAAACTGCTGCATGGTGAAAAGAAGATAGTAACTAATAGCAGTACTCGTAATAATAATGGCCCACAGTTATTAAGCACATACTCTTTTCTAGGCATGTAATTCTCTGCATTTTATAAATACTTATTTATTTAGCTTCACCTGGATTTTTGCAACAGCTTCATAACCAGTCTCACCAAATGCACACCTGTCCCTAAAAATCTATTCTAAATAGCCAGAGCGATCCTCTGCTCAAAGAACATCACGCCTCTGCTCAAAACATGGCTCCTATATCCATCCCCCAGAGGAAAAGCCTGAGCCCTTGGCATAGGCCGAGTATGAGCAGGACCTAAATGCCTCTCTGACTTTATCATTAAGCCTCATCCTGTCACAAGGCACCTGGGTGTCTCAGTGGTTAAGAATCTGACTCTTGGGGATCCCTGGGTGGCTCAGTGGTTTAGCACCTGCCTTTGGCCAAGGGTGTGATCCTGGAGTCCCGGGATCGAGTCCCACATTAGGTTCCCTGCATGGAGCCTGCTTCTCCCTCTGCCTGTGTCTCTGCCCCGCCCCCCCTGCCCCCCGCCATCTGTCTCTAATGAATAAATAAAATCTTAGAAAAAGAGGGAGTCTAGAAAGAAATTTCAGGTGAAAAGGTGTGAAACTCAAGTTTTGATGGAAATGTCTTGGGAATAACAGCCCTCAACCCCTGAGTCGTGGCACCAGAGTAGAGCCACCAGTTATGAAGTACGAGTTGTTGCTAGCAATAACATCAAGATCCACAGGTGAGGGATTATTGTCTTTGCTTTTTAAAGGAATAGAAATTGGAACTCACTCAGTAATCCCCATAATAAGTGACACCGTCATTCCTTTGCACACTTCTATGCTTTCTTGGATGTCAGTGGGACAAGTGGAATCAGAAAGGCATGCCAAGACTGGGGAAGAGTTAAGGTGGTGGAGGAGAGAGGACCCAAGTTCATCTGGTCCCTGGAATTTAGCTAGAGAGTCATCAAATCATTCTGAACACCGGCAAAATCAATGGGAGGTCTGAGAAAAGAAATGCTGCAATTCTACCAATAGAAAAGTGACCACTGTTTTGCAAGGCAGGTGGTGAGGAGACTTGAATTCAGGGTGATAACCTATGGAGGATATGGCCAAGGGAGGAGCCTGCCTAAGGTGCTACCGCAAAGTCATAGAAGCAGCCAGCACAAAATCAGAACTTGGGAGTCTGCGGGGGGGGGGGGGGGCACGACTCCCTGGCTGGAAGGTGCTCGGGTGGCAGAGCGGAATCCCGGGTGGGACAGCATGGCCTCAGGATCCCTGGGGTCACGGGACAGGGGTGCCTGAAGGAAGCAAAGGTCCCAAGCATCAGAGCAGGGAGGCCAGATGCAGCCAGAAACACTGGCACCAGCTCTCGGGCGGGGGGTTGCCCTAAACCTGGAACCAGCCCATGGTCTGGGGGGGCTGCGCTCCAAGCAGTGGTGTAACCCCCTCCAGATATTCCCCTACTCCCCCGACTCCTCCCTGCTGCCCCACCTCCCTCCCCTCCACTCCCCGTCAGGAGCCGGACAGGTGCTGCTGCAACAGTCCATAAAGTTTAGAGTCTCCAATAGGGTGGTGGGACTGAGATAAAAATGCTGGGCCACAGGCTGGGTGAACCCAGACTGTAGAGGGAAACCAGGGAGCCAGGAGTGATTGACTGCTTCTCCGTGAGGGCTCACTGAAGGCTGGGGGCTAGGGCTTTCAGCTAGGGGGCTAGAGATTGGGGCACCGCCATTTTCATCACCCCCCACCCCCCACCCCGCCCTGGTGGGTGCCACAGCCTAAAGGAGCAAAACACTGCCACCTAGTGGACGCTGGAGGGGCTTCCACGGAGCCGACCCCTGGCTGGGGGGATTCCGCCTGGGAATCAGAGCAACAGCTCCTCCCGCAGAGGACCAGTAGGAACAACCCGGCAGCACCAGCTATTCGGATCCTAGAGAACCGCAAAGCTTCAGCTCTTGGGGAAAACAGGATAAGCATTCATGGGTTGTATATTTTTTGGTCTTTCAGTGTTCCTTTTTTCTAGCTATTTTCCTATTTTAAGATTCTTTTTTCTCTTTTTTATATGTTTATTATATGTATATATATGCTATATACATCCTTTATTTTTGGTTGCCTTTCATTGCCTTTTATTTTAATTTTGCACAAATCAAAACTACAATGACATATCACCTCACATCTGTCAGAATGGCTCAAATAAAAAACACGGTGAAATAACAAGTGTTGGCAAAGATGTGGAGAAGAAAGAACTGCCGTGCACTGTTGGTGGGAATGCAAACTGGTGTGGCCATCGTGGAAAACAGTATGGAGGTTCTTAAAAAAATGAAAAATAGAGGATCCCTGGGTGGCTCAGCGGTTGAGTGCCTGCCTTCGGCCCAGAGTGTATCCTGGAGTCCCAGGATCGAGTCCCACGTCGGGCTCCTGGTGCATGGAGCCTGCTTCTCCCTCTGCCTGTGTCTCTGCCTCTCTCTCTCTCTCTCTCTCTCTCTCTCTCTCTCTCTCTCTCTCTTTCTCTCCCCCCATGTCTCTCATGAATAGATGGATAAAATCTCTTTAAAAAATTAAAAATAGGGACACCTGGGTGGCTCAGTCATTTAAGTGTCTGCCTTTGGCTCAAGTAATGATGCCAGAGTCGTGGGATCAAGCCCCCAGTAAGGCTCCTTGATCAAAAAGGAGCTTGTTTCTCCCTCTTCCTCTGCAGCTCCCCCTATTGTGCTCTCTCTCTGTCAAATAAATAAATAAAATCTTTTTTAAAATTAAAGATAGAGCTATCCCACGATCCAGTAAGCATACTGCTGGGTATTTACCCAATAAATACAAAAACATGATTTGAAAGGACACATAAACCCCTATGTTTGTTGCAGCATTATTTACAATAGCCAAATTATGAAATCAGCCCAAATATC